TTTGATAAATATAAGAAAGAACTTGCATCATATCATGGCAAAACATCTCAAAGCACTCCACAAGGAATTATCATCAAGTGTAGCGGCTGTTTATGCAGACAAACCTGGCAGCCATTTGAACCTACAAAGCCCTACAAACGACAAATTAAGTGAATGACTAATTTATCCATAGGATTGTTGGCAAAACACCAGAAGAAACTAAACTTTGCTTTTTGAATAATTTCATGGGATCTTTAAGCTTCAACTTAGTTTAATATCTTAGCCAAAGAACGGCAGCTCCGACCATGTAGCACTCCTGAATAATAATAATAATCCTTGCATTTGATATAATGCCTTATCACATCTTCAAGAATTGAATGACTATGAAACACTACTGATTGTACTCCTATATGGTCAAAGTCACTAATGACATTTTAAACATCTGTGATCAGGGCTCCCTCTGCCTCCATGTCCTCCTCAACCTCTCTGCCACCTTCGACATTGTCGACCACTCCATCCTCATAATAATAATAATAATCCTTGCATTTAATATAGTGCTTTTCACGTCGGGAGGACGTCCCAAAGTGCTTCACAGAACACACTGTAAAGTGAATTGACTGTATATTTGTGGGTGAACGCAGCAGCCAATTGCGCACAGCAATGCCCCACAGACAGTCGTAGATTGAAAATGACCAACTTTTTTTTTTTGGGGGGGTTTTGGAGGGATTATTATTAGGCTCTGTGTGGAGTAAGGAAACTTGCCCAAGGTTTTGCCCTGACCTGCCTGGAATTGAACTCAGGTCTCTCACTTGCAAAACGAGTGCTCTAATCATTGAGCTACAGGACTCCACACCACCTCTCCGCTTTACTCAATCTTCACGGATCTGCCCTTGCCTGGTTCGATTCCTATCTCTCTCACCGTCTCCACTTTGTTGCCTCTAACGGTTTCTCCTTCAGCCCCCACACTGTCATGTCTGGCGTCCCCCAGGGCTCTGTCCTTGGCGCTCTCCTCTTTAATATCTACATGCTCCCCCTTGATGACATCATCCGCAGATATGGGGTCAACTTCCACATGTATGCGGATAACACCCAACTCTATCTTTCTGCCTCCACCCTCAACTCCAGGACCACTGCTGTCCTGACAGACTGCCATCAATTCCTGGATGAGGGCAAATTTCCTACAGTTGAATATGAACAAGATTGAGGCCCTCCTGATTGGCTCCCGCCAGCGCCTCTGCACCTCAGGCTCTGGCAGCATCAACCTCCATGGTTGCACACTTCAACTCACCAAACCAGTGAGGAACCCAGGTGTCTTGTTCGACCCTCAACTCTCTTTTCTTCCCCACATCCAAGCCATGACCCGCTCTGCCTTCCCTCACCTCCGTAACATCACCTCACTCTGCCACTACCTCACCCCTCAGGCCTCTGAAACTCTTGTTCATGCCTTCATCACCCTCCAGGCTCGACTGTGCAAATGCCCTGCTTGTCGGCCTTCCCAACTCCTCCCTCCACAGGCTGCAGATAATCCAGAACTCTGCAGTCCATGTCCTCTCCTGCACCGAACTCTGTGACCCCATCACCCCATTCTCGGCCGAGTCCACTGGCTCCCTATCCTTCAGTGGATCCAGTTCAAGATCCTGGTTCTCACCTACAAAGCCCTCCATGGCCTCACTCCATCCTACCTCTGCGACCTCCTAACCCCTTACCAATCCGCCCGCTCCCTCCACTCAGCCGGCTCTGGCCTGCTCCACGTCCCTCGCCCCACCTGCCCCACCATTGGCGGGAGAGCCTTCAGCCACTCTGCCCCCAACCTCCGGAATTCCATCCCCCAGTCACTCTGCCTCACCCCCACTTAGCCTCCTTCAAATCCCGCCTCAAGACCCTCTTCTTCGACCATGCCATTGGTCACCCCCCTTCCCCTCCCCTCCCTTCTCCCCTCCTGACCCCAACTCGGGTCTGATATGCTGTACACTGTCCAGGGCCTTGGGATGTCCTCCTGATGTGAAAGGCGCTATACAAATGTAATCTTGTTGTATATCTATCTGGTCTTATGTTAAACTTCTCTCCTTGGAGACATTTCACTTCTGGAACTTGGGTTCGAAATGAGTCAAGATTGACGCGATGAAGAACTTGTATGTGTGCCAGTTATATCTAACCAGATTTGGCAGCTTGATCCTATTTCTCAATCAGTATGAATACATAATGCATAGTTTTCCCAATAATTGACAATTGGCAATCATAGAAAGATTATAAGGACAGAGAATTTTGGAAATGGAAGTGGCACATTAATGAGATGGAAAGTTATCTTCTGACGATGGTTTGAAAACAATTGCCAGGTTAGAAGGAGCTTTATCCCTGCATTTATACTGCGATGTTTAGCATTGATTCAGTGAAACGAACGTCAAATTGTTTCGAGCAGTATAAAAGGGTCTGACCAGTCTAACCAGGCCATATATTTTTGGATGCAACAGGACAGTACGAGAACAACCATTATTATTGTTAATAAATAATACTATTAATTAATACTAACAATTAATAGATTGATAATAATCTATGATTCTAATCCTTGCGGTTGATTTAGTGCCCTCACGTTGGGAGGATGCCTCAAAGTGCTTCACAGAATTTTATTGTGAAATGCAGTGACTGTGTTTTGTAGGCAAACCTACATTATCTTATATTTATCTATTCATCTGTTATTCTTTGGCCTTTCTGCTGAACTGGTTCAGAATTCTCTGTATGAGGCTTCTCCCATAATATTCACACTGCTCAAAGCATTTGGTATTATAGAATTAATAATAATAGAGAATGATTTTCAGGGATACAAATGCCAAATGTCTAAATAAATGTAGTCACCTTTGAGCCATTTTGAGACCAAAGCTTTTCGTTCTTAGAAGCATTTCTTAATGGGTTTCAAATGTGTCACTGCATGAATGTTGACTGACAGTCTCTGGCTCTCTGTGTCAATCTCTCTGGCTCTGTGCTCAGTCGTTGACTCTCTGACACATTATCAGCACATCAGTATAAGGGAAATGATGAACCTCTCTGTCTGTTTGATACCTTTTAGCAGCAATTTTGTGGAGTCCTGGAGTTCAGTGGTTAGAGCACTCATCTCGCAAGTGAGAGGATCTGGGTTCAATTCCTGGCCAGGGCAAAACATTGGGAAAGTTTCCTTTCCTCCACACACCTCTGTTTACCTAGCAATAAGTAGGAACCCGTCTGTTAGTCAATTAGCGGAGCACTTTTGCTGGTGCAATAATCCCTTCAAAAAAATTAATAATAATAATTTGGTCACTGAATCCATGACTGTTTGTTGGACACTGTTGTGCGCAATTGGTTGCCCTCTTTCGCTCATAAAATATACAGTCAATTCACTTTACAGTGTATTTTGTGAAGCATTATGAGATGTCTCGAAGATGTGATAAGGCACAATATCAAATGCAAGGATTATTATTATTATTTGGAAAAGCAGGACATCAGCTAATTATCTCCTATAATTTTGAATTACTCAATGTTGTCCTAATATTTACTTGTGTGAAATAAAATTGTTTGGAGCAGGTGCTGATTTATTTGTCTTCCTAAATTCACTGTCGAACCTGACCTGCTGTTACACACCACCAACTGACTGTTCCTTAGGTCTGTCCTTTCATACCTAACATAACTGCTGGTTTTGTGCCGGGTGGCATTAAAAAAATGCTTACCTTTAATACAGTGTGTTTCATGCTGGGAGGACATCTCAAAACATTTTACAGGATTTTATTGTAAAATGGAGTGACTGTGTAGTTGTAGGAGAACGTGGCAGCCATATACACACAGCAATGATTCACAAGCAGCCGTGGAGTGTGAATGACCAATTTTATTTGGGGCACCTTTGGCCAGGACACTGGCGAACTCCTTTCTCTTTTCAAATAGTGCCATGAGATCCTTAACGTCTACCTGAACAGGCAAACAAAACCTTGATTTAACGTCTCATCCAAAGAACGACACCTCCGACAATGCAACACCCCACCGCAGTGCTGAATTGAGCATCAGTTTAAGACTATGTGGTTCCAAGTCCCGATTCCAACCTTCTGACTCAGAAGTACGAGTACTACCATTGCGTGAGGCTCACACTCTTATGAGCATTGCAAAAATTGATCTAATGCAGTGGAGCCATTACCCATTCAGGTCACTATATTTTTACATGCTCAGTGTTATTGTTTTTGTGCTTTCGCTCTATTCAAACAAATCGAGACATTAGGAGAAATGACGAGGCCTCATTTGTTTAACTGCTAATGATTCACGCATGTTTTTTTTAATCAAACAATAGAAGCCAGACTCTGTGCAATCCAGGATTTCATAACATTTTGTTTATTTTTCATGACCTTGCCAAACCTTGATGCCCCTAACCTTGTGCTTGACATTCTAGGATAATATTTCCTCCACCCTTCTTCATGATAAATTATTGCAATAAGTATGACTCGCTGAAGCAGCTAAACCAGTATGATGGCAGGGAACAGATTGTACATCATTGGCAAAAGATCTGACACAAAGACTTCAGAAAGAAAAAATAAAGCAAGGCATAGTCTGACTTTTTCTGTGTCGCACTGAAGATAGTGTGACCACTGATAACAAAGCCCAGGTGAAAGTAAAAGCTGATTAGATGTATTTGCAAAGCCATGCTGTGTAGAGCATCTGTCTCTACTTATCAAAGACATCTGGGTAAATTATTAACATTTCATCTGTCAGGTGTCCTTTGTCCTACCTCCTCTCTCCTTTCCAATAATTGGTCGTTGCTCAATAATGCTGCCTTTGTTAAATGCTTGTTGGGTGAGGTAACCCTTTTGGACAGGGGCCAGCATTTCTAAATTTACCCAACAGCAGTGGGAAAGACAGTATTCAGCCAGAGACATTTTAGCATCATGAGCTGTTTATTTTGTAATATAAGTAAACCCATTTTCCTGCTTGTTCTTTGCAATTCAGAGCAATGGGCTTTGGTAGCTAAAGTAAGACTTTTTTCTGTTAAAAAGATATAGTCTGCCTGTTGTTATTCAGACGAGACTGGGGCTGTCACTGAAAATTACACTGCAAACCACAAATGCATTCGTGCATGATATTGGTATTTTCTGTTCACTTCAAAAGTAAGTTGGGCTACTTTACAAAGAACATATAATGAGAATCTTTGTCATAGTTTACTAAACTAAACTAAACTGGTCATCTACTTTGTGAATCATTAATTTCTTGCATTGGCAGGTCGATTTACAGTATTTCACTGTAAATTCAAAAGTGACATGAGAAGATATGGCACAATGTTTTTTGTTGGTAACTTTAATTAACACTGATCAACAAGAAGACAAGTACAAAGTTGTTTGCTCCCGTGTTGGTTTATTTATGCTGCTTTGGACACTGGTGCCACAGCACAGATTCATACAATTCTGATCCACCCATTTTGTACCGAGGTTTCATTGTGGTTGTCCTTCACCAGTTCCAAGTTAAGTAATTGAGTGGAAGTGATTTCATATACTTTATGGTGTCACATTTCAAGGTCATAGAAGATCAATAGAATGGAGGATACCAGCTAATTGTAAATGATAAAGGTAAGGATTGGTGACCTTAAGATGTATCTAGACTTAAGTTTGATCAACAACCCCAACAAATTGTATTTATATAGTCCCCTTCATGTGACGTAGTGCTTCAGAGCACTGAACAATGGCGAAGTTTGATGCTGAGACAGGGAGGAAGGGGGATAACCATAAACACAGACAAAGAGGAAAGTCTTCAGGAGTGATCTGAAGAACGGCAAAGAGGGGGCAAAGCGGAGGCAGGGAGTTCCAGAGGTTTGAGGTATTGTGGCTGCTGCCGATGGTGAGGTGGAGGGGTTGAGACACACAGATCAGTCCAGGTTAAAGTTACTTAAGGGTCAAAATACCATTTATATGAAAGTGCTATATAGAGGGGTTTCACAATGCAACTGTAAATTGAGTTGCATAAGGAACAATATCCTACTATGAGAATGTTAGTTTCTGGCTTGTTCAGGGTACTATATTTGTAGTGTAATGAGTGAGAGGGCAGCTTTCGATCAGCCTCAGTGAGTGGTAACAAGCACAACAAGGCAATCATTGGCTGTCGTGTGTTGTTTGTGTCTGTGAATGAATCAAGGACAAATTCAATGTAAAATGGTAGTAAGGCACCCTGGAGGAGGTCCTGAGGAGACCTGGCACAGCCACGACACCAGATTCTGTAGGGTCTCACAGGTGCTGGTGGTGGCTGAGCCGGTCATTAAACTCCAAGAATGTTTCTTTGAATGCAAAGTGTCGAGGAAAGAAATAAAACTGAGGTGTCAGTAGGTTTAAGATTAGCAACCTCAAAAGGGTTATGTTCATTTTACGTTCATATTAAGCTCTTTATGAATTGTCGCCATTGCTTTGTTGTTGTCTGGGTATAGAAAAGAAACTTGTGTGGGACAGTGGTCATCGTATGTTGCAACAATTAGCATGTCTTAGAATCCCACCATATATTTAATTTCCCATCACAATGAAAGGTAAACCACAACTAGACAAAGGAGAACGGTGGTGGTCGCTTTGACCAGCTGAAGCTCTCAGAGGTTAAAGAGATCATCCTCTCACTTATCAACTAGGATAACAACGCCACCAATGTTGAGAAGGGTTGAGCAGGACACAGATGTCAGCAAGGTCATATGAAGAATGCTACTTTCATCTACTAACTAATTGAGTAATTAGTTGAGTGCTTCTCCATCTTCTCCACCTTATGTTCATCATTTGTTTCCTTACAGCAGCAGGGAGAGTGAGGAGGAGGAGTCCTCGGATATTGTACCCCCATGAGATCTGGGTGGCTGAGGAGAAAGATGAGGAGAGGCAGAGCTTGGTTACCCATCCAGCACTATGAAACGCTTTGAGACATCCTTTCAACATGAAAGGTGCTGTAACAATGTAAATTGTATTATAAGCAAGGGATAGGGATGATATTGAGGGCATTTCAGGAGCTATCCTAGGGCTGGATTATCCTCAAGCAAGGAACATAGCAAGTTAGTAAGAGAGTTACAGTATTTTTATTTGGATTTACTGAGCACTAATAGGCTGCCGAGAGGTCGGAAAATACACATAACCATGGTTAATTCATACAAAGTCAAATTATTACTTTAAGTTATGAATCACAAAGGAGCTCACATATAACCTTGTTCTTGAAGAAGTATGTAAATCAGAGTGGTCAGCATCCAGAATGCAGCTTTCCATTGCAGCTGTGTCAATACAATCTGCTTTGGTCCCTTCTCCCCGTCTCATTAAACACTGACTTTGGCAAGATCGGAACACAATGATTCTGCATTGATTTGTTTCAGAAAGAACTGTTGTGCTGTTAAAATACAAAGTGTTTAAAGAAGGCGTTTCTGGTGACTGTCCTGTAATTACCCCTCACAACTCTGAACTTGTACCCACTTGTCCTGCTGTTTTGGAAATTTCAATTGTTCTGGGTTTGCTTTGTCTATCCCAATAAACGTGTTATATACCTCTGTATATGTCCCCACCCACCCCCACCTCCTCCAACAGACACACAGACTCCTGAGACAATACTTTACAAGTCCCATAGCCCTAGCTAATCTCCATTCATAGCTGTTTTCCTTCTTTATAATAATAAAAATATAATAAATAATATAATAATAATTCTTGCATTTCATATTTGATAGTTTGGGACCCAAGATGTCAAGCGACTGCCAGAATGGTGGAAGGCGAACTAAATGGACCTAGGTCTTCCTTCGCCTAGCAAATTATTATGTTCTTATGATATAGCATCTTATCATGTCACTGAGATGTCTCAAAGCCTTCACAGAATATACTGTAATTGTTTGCCATATACATTATTATAACACTGGTTATTCCATAAAACTGTACATTTATTCATATATAATAATAACAATCCTTGCATTTGATATAACGCCTTATCATGTCTTTGAGACGTCTCAAAGTGCTTGGTCAAAGTGCTTCACAGAATATACTGTAATATACTGTGGAGTCCTGTAGCTCAGTAGTTAGAGCACTTGCCTTGTAAACGAGATACCTGGGTTCAATTCCAGGCAGAGCGAAACCTTGGGCAAGTTTCCTTACTCCACACGCCTAATAATAATTCCTCCAAAACAAAAAACAATATAAATAGGTCATTTTCAATCTACGACTGTTTGTGGGACACTGCTGTGCACAATTGGCTGCTGCATTTCGCCCACAAATATACGGTCAATTCACTTTACAGTCTATTCTGTGAAGTGCTTTGAGACGTTGAGAAAACATGAAAAGCGCTATATCAAATGCAAGGATTATTATTATTATAAAGTGAATTGACTATATATTTTGTGGGTGAAACATGGGAGCCAATTGAACACAACAGTGTCCCACAAATAGTCGTGGATTGAATGTCCAAATTATTACTATTAATTTTTTTGAAGGGATTATTACCTCTGGAAAGCAATTCGCTAACCGGGTTCCTACTTACTGCTGTGTAAACAGAGGCGTGTGGAGTAGGAAATTTGCCTAAGATTTCGCCCTGCTTATGAATCGAACCCGGGTCCTCTCGCTTGCTGGGTGAGTGCTCTGACCAATATGCTGCAGGGTTCCATGTGGCTACCTCAAACTGTTTGAATCATCTAAGACTCTTATGTTTGTTTCATCTTCCCCCTGGCTAAGTGTCTCCTCTTTTTACTTTCCATATGCGGCATATTGTAATTATCTATTTATTGATTTTTATTTTTCAGGTGCAATTGTTGCCAACCTGCCCTTGTAAGACCTTAGCACTCTGAGATGTTATCCTGCTTAAAGGGCCCTACATATAAATGAAGTTTTTGCCGCCTCTACTCTACCCTAACTTGGTGTCATCTGCAAATGTAATTACCTTGCACTGAATCTGAAAATGCAGGCTATTTCAGTGTACTAGGAACAGTAAGGATCTCAGCATAGATCACTGAGGCACTCCATACAATACACCCTACTTACAATTATCCTCTGCTTCCTTTAGCCAGTTACTCATCCAGGTCCATACATTAGTCTTGAGAACTATATATCAGTTTTAAAGGAATTTCACATGGGAACTTTATCAAGTATCATTCAGAAGTCCCCCCATCAAATTGAGATGCCACTGACTGAAATAAGTCAGTGAAATTAGTCAGACAAGGGTTAACCCTTGAGAGGCCAATGCTGGCTGTTACTTGTTATTTTACAAAGTTATCTTTTTTTTTTGCTTGTGCTGACTGATTCCATTAGCTTTCCCATTATTGAGCTCAGGCCAATGGGTCTAAATTTCCAGATATGGCTCTGTATCCTTTCACAAAATATAGGAAGCACATTTGCTGTTTTGAATCTGCCAGAACCTTCAATGATTCACTCAAAATGTCTTTCAGCACGTCATAAAATCTCTTGCCGTTGCAGCCCAATTAATCCAACATCTGTAGAGGGGAAATCGCTAACCAGCAGTGTACACAAACTATTCAATGGATATAATGTAACTTGAAAGCATTTGATAACGTTCCATATGTGAGCGTTGTATGAAAGATTAAAGTTCATAGCCTTAAAGTGAAGGTAGCTACGCTGGTTAGATTGGAAACTGGAGCCATGCAATCAGATGACAACTGTAAAGATGACTGTTATTTGAAGGATTACAACAAATTAAGCAGCTGGATAAAGGAAAAGAAATGGATTTTATCTTATTCTCCCCTCCAATTAATTTCTTCCCCTCTGCTTCAGAATATTTTTGACTCATTTTACCCTCTACCAGGGTACAGTTCATCGGCATCCTCCATTACCTCATCCAATTGGCCATTATTCATGTGTGAAGCTTGACAGTGAGTAGTTGGCAGGCTGATAGACCATGGAGCCATCTCAGCTGAGCCCATAATGTTCAAATGCATGTTTATTCCATCAGGTTTTCCTGGATAACATACGGAACAAAACTCAAGTTGATTGACTTCACCTTCACATAATTAATAATAATAATAATCATTTTATTTTGGTATAGATGTTATCACATTGTCAAAATATCTAAAGACACTTCACAAGATTTACTGTAAAAGCATTTTTTTTAAGTGCAGGAAGCCAATAAAGATCGATTTCCAGCCCATTAGCTAAGGTCTGTGTCACTTCCTGCTTTGTGCATGAGCATCAAAGCAGGAAGTGACATTAGGCTACTTAATGACCTTGGAGTTAGTTGTCCATTTTGGTGCGAAAACCT